AAAGCGTTTGTTTCTACACCTGATAGGTTCCCCGTGTGACCTCAGAGACTAGCAGGTTCTACTGTGCCATGCCACCTCCCTGACTCCTGATGTCCCTTCAGCCCGATCCAACTGACAGAACATGGCTTCCTGTGAAACATTCCGGCCCAGGTTCTGAGCAGCAAAGCAGCCTTCATCACAGAGCCCAGTGCTACACAAGGTGTTTTCGGTGTTCCCCCATCAGAGAGCAGGAACTGTATTCCCATACCTTTTGGAAGCACACATCAAGTACTCAAAATGCATTTGGATAGCCTTTCCAATCTCCAGCACTCTATTTCTCACACTGGCTTGGAAGTTCAGTCTCATGTAAAATTAAGGGCATGGGCTTTAAAGTAAAAAATGTAGGTTTAAGTTCTAGCCCTGCAACTTGCCCATTCTGTGATTTTAAACCATCAACAACCTCCTGGAAGCCTGTTTCATAATCTGTAAAACAGAACCTAACAATACCTGCTTCATAAACTCTTAGGACTAGGTGAGATGGTGCCAATAAAGCACACAGTGGGGTGCCTAGCACACAGTAAGCACTCGATGATTACTGCTACTATGCTGTTTATACAGTTCCTGACTTGCCTAATCTAATGAAAGAGGATGGCTCCAGGGTTCTCAAGCTGGCTGACAATCAGATAGATGCCCTGAGTCAGCAACATTGTAGAAGTGCCTACTCAAGCCCCTAGCACAGCTACTGCTTTGATATTCCAGAGACCAGGCCATGAGCATCCAACATGTGCCCTGCAGCAAGGCCTGGCCTTCACTGGACACTTTGAGTCATTGCTCAAAATGTGCCATCAAACTGCTCTAGCCAAGGCAGTGGTCTGGCCAAAGAGTTTGGACATCACTCCAGGTTCTCAGTTTACTGTGCCCCCTCAGTTCTGCTCTTATAATGCCAGGAGCCCTCCAACCTCTGTTGCAGCATTTCTTATGCTGAGCTTTAATTTGTTTTCTCTTCTTCCCAATCCATCTTATATGCCCAACACCTTGCACAGTTCCTGACATTGGTTCAAAGGCTCAGGGCACACTACTGAAATGAACCACACTGGACATGTGGGGAAGTTGGGGTCTCTACTTTGGGGATCTTTTTCCAGCTTACCTGGTTCATGGTAACTTCTGCTCAAGGAGTGCCCCTGCTCTTCAACCTCTCCTCCTATCTGGACTTCCCTGATGACACCTGCTGGACTCTGGCTTCCCTAAACCTCTGTGCTAGATAGCATCAGTTGTCAACTTGACACACCTGAGAAGAGGGAACCTCAATTGAGGACCTTCCTCTATCAGACTGGCCTGTGGGCATATCTGTGAGGCATTTTCATGATGATTAAGTAATGTGGGAGGGCCTAGCCCACTATGGGTGGTGCCATCCCTGGGTAGGTGGACCTGGGTAGAGAAAGCAGACTGAGCACAAGTCTGAGAAGCAAGCAAGTAAGCAGCATCCCTCCATGGTCTGTGCTTCAGCTCCTGCCTCCAGGTTGCTGCCCTGACTTTCCTCAGTGATGAACTGTGACCTGGGAGATGTAAGATAAAATAAACCCTTTCCTCCCCATGTTGGTTTGGTCAATGTTTTTTATCATAGCAATAGAAAGTAACTAGGACAACCTCCTAGTCACTGTGTTTCCTTGTCTTATTTCTGAGCATGACCATGTGCATATACTGATTATTCTTCCATCAGACTTGGAGCTCCCTGAGGTCACACAGTCCTCTCCTCTGACCGGCTCTCGAATTCTAAGTATTTTTAAATCATACATTACCCCTGAAACCTATGTTCTTAGGACATGGGATTAGGAAAGCTAAGCGGCCTCAACCTTGTCCCAGAGTTCCCTATGGGTGTGTCCCCGATCAGGCTGCAGTAGCATCAGGCAAGGTTGAGCCACACACAAAACATCCACCCTCTTGCTGCTCACCATGACTCTTACCTCCTCCTCCACCCTTTCCCTTGCAGTTGATGTCAGGATCAGATCTGAGCTACCATTTTAGATGGCTATGGACAAGAGGGGCTGGTACCAGTGGAATTCAAGATCCTGCAGTTCAGCATCCTGTCTGCACTTCCTCACTCAGGCTTATCTGTGTGATTTGTCTGATTACCTGTCTCCTTCTTCCATTACTCAGAGAGTTCTGAGAGATGTGACTCTGTCTTGCTTTTCCTCTCTGTGATCTCAGTGCCTAGCAGAGCAGAACACGACAAAGCTTAATCTGTGACACAAGTAAGGATGAACCCAGTCTTAAATTCCTCTCCTTCTCCCTCCCTCTAGCCAGAGTGAAAACAGAACTACTCTATCCTTCCTTTATGACTTCCTAAGAATTTTTTTCTCTAAAGACAGAGGAAGATCCTCACAGCTTCACCTCTTGGATGATTTCAGAGATCTCAGTATCTCTGGCCACCAATCCAGCCAGGGGTATGGGAGAGAGTATGGTGTGGGAGATAGGGAACAAGTTGTGACAATGATTAGACCCTAAGAATCCTGTCCCCAGTCACTGCAAAAACTTCCCCACCCCAAAACCAAAGCCCAAACTGATCCTCTGGATCTAGCCACTCCCCGCATCCCCCGCAGTGTGCCCCTAAAAGGACCAGTCCTTGTAAGCCTAGCCCACGGGGAGCCAGGGAAGCACAATTGGCAGGTCTTGCCCCAGCTCTCTGGGGAGCTGGCTCTGCTGTTGGTTTGCCTGAATTTAACTCTCTGTATCCTTTGTGATGCCAAACAAGGAGACAAGGGCTGAGATTCACTGCACAAAACTGGAAAATATGTAGGCTGTTATCAGAACCCCCCACTTGACCTGAGCCCCAATCAAGCACTTCAACGTCAGAACCTTGATCCAATCAGCTCCTGACAACAGCTGCAGGTGATGCCTTTCTGATACCAGGAAAAGCTGGAAGCCCTAAGGTCTTAATACCAGGGGATGCTTCCTGCCCTGCCCCCACTGATGATGGGGAGGGGACAGAGAAGGGTGACAAAGCCAGGGGTGGGGGGCAACGAGTCCCCAGTAGCATGTCCCCTGGCTGCGTAACGTCTGAGACCCATACAAAACTACCACATATCAGCAGAAGGTGTCCAGACCTTCAGTATTTCAAGGCCTCTTGGGAAACAGCCAGAGTTGGTCTAAGCGTCTCATTTAAGCCTCTGGATTTCAGAAGGAGCTCCAAGACAGGGGTGAAAGATACCAGTCTCTGTTACTGGGCCTGTGAGCTTCTTTTCTCAGTGTGTGTATCTGTGTGTGTGTCTGTGTGTGTGTGTGTGTGTGTGAGAGAGAGAGCGAGAGAGAGAGAGAGAGAGAGAGAGAGAGAGAGAGAGACCTTCAGCTGATTCCAAAGATTAGGGGTAGAAATGTCTCCCTCTGAAGAGCCAGTTTAGTCAAGACAAAAGGTGGACCGTATTGGAGGGAAAGAAGATCTCTCCTCCTCCCCTTTGCCTTTTCCTGCACACAGTTCCACCTGATCCATCATCTTCCACCACAGGGAGGACAGAGCTCTGCCTCCCCTCCTCTGCCTTCCTCCACAGCCACAGCTTGTAGGCCCAGATTCCCAGGGGCTCCCAAGATCCACGCATTTTTCCCTAGGCAGCCTCTACTTATACTTAAGTTTTATGGGGTCTGAACCTACTAGTCTCTGGCCCTAAACAAACCACTCATCTCTTGCCTACACAGGTCTCAAAGCCTGTGGCCTGCCCTTGCTTTGCTGGATTGGATTGGGGCCCAGCAGGGCTCACCTCAGTTCCAAGGTTAGACAGACATAACAGGCCCTCCTGCCAGGAAGAGATGGGCAGAAAAGGGACATTGTCATTCACTCCTCTGGACCTAGAGGAAGCATCTTTGTGCGACATCACACACACACACACACACACACACACGCCAGAAGCCAAGGTAGGGACCCTGGCTCAAGGATGCAGAGGGGCTCTGCTGTGGTGACCAGAGTGTCAGTGATTCAGCACTCTGCCCACTCTCTAGCCATGGGCCACACTCATGACCACTCCTGATGCAAAAGTGCTGACTTGGAGGCTAAAGAAGAATCTTTGCTAAAACCTCAGATTCTTGGGTCCTCCAGCAAGGCTTATCTGCCAGGCCCTGCCAGCCGGGGCTCAGAACAAGTCTCAGAAGCCTCTTGGGCCATTCTGTTGGACCTGTCTCTTCCCCAGCCTCATTTCCCTCCCTAAGCCCATCTAGGAGATAAACCTGAACAGTTCCAGGAGAGGAGAGGACCACACAGTGGCCTGCTAACCTCAGCATCTCTCTGCACACGTTATGAACAGGCTCAAACACGTAGCCAATGCTCTAAGTGCTTGCATCCACAACAGTGAACACTGGGCCTGTAAACCCTAGGCACCTTCGTGCCAGGGTAGGACCGATGTACAAGCCCAGAGGCTACACCACCAGGAAGGGTAGGTGAAGAAGGTGATGGGCAGCAGGCCAGCTAGGACAAGGGGAAGAAGGTGGGGTGTTCTGGTGGGACTGTGTTGCAGAAACAAGGGAGCAGCTGGGAAGGGGTTGGGATAGGGTATGCGGAGGGGAAGGAGGAAGTCAAGCTGGAAGGGAGACCCGCACGGCAGGGTGACCGAGGCAAGAGATGGGGAGGGCAAAGAGAGGGGCCACGGGCAGAGCAAGAAAACATACGTGGGAACTGGAAAGTGAGGTGGCAGGAAAGTATAGGACGAAGAGGAGTAAGGGGACAGAGAGGAAAGGAGAAGAGAGAGGATGCGGGAAGGGGGAAGGGGAAGCTCGGAGGAAGGGATGCAGCCAACGAGTCAGAAAGGGTGCTGTGGTGGTCTGCAATGAGAGGTGGGTGGGAGATATCGCCAGAATCCGGTGGGTTCGAGGCAGGTGACCGTGTGGAGAGGAAAAGGTATAGGGATGTGGATGGAGGGGGATGGGGCAGGTCGGGGATGCAGATGGACTGAGGGCGGGAAGGAGGGGTGCCGCTCGATGGGTTTCTGCGATGCCCGTTCTGCGGCCCTAGCCGCAGGTGCCCGCGCTGGCCTTACCTCCAGGGGCTCGGGCTCCAGCCCTGGGCGCAGTCCCGGCCGTCAGCTGCCAGTGCGGCCGCTTCCCCCGCGTCCCCTGCAGCGCCTCTCGCCGCCAGCCGCCGCATTAGGGCAGAGACCAGCCCGTGCGCGCCCCCGGGCGGCCAGCGCGTCTCCGACGGCCTGCGTGCGCGTCCCCGCGCCCCTCCCAGCGCGCGCGCGGAACTGAGACCAAGCACCTCCGAGGGGGGAAGGATGCTCCGGGCCCAAGGCGCTGCAGAGCAGTTCTCAGAGCCGGGATCCCGGAACGCTGCTTTCTCACCTGACCTTGGGGGGCTCCTCGCGAGCCCGCTGGAGGAGTGGTGGCATTCTGCCCGTGTGCGTTTCTTTGTGAGCCTGGTCCAGGCCACGGACAGAGAAAGGGCCCTGGAACCCCCAAACTGTCCCTGGGCTGTCCTGTATATTGCCCCTTCATTTGTGACTCCCTAGGGGCAGGAATTGGTACCACACCTTGCGTTCGCAGGGCCTTATGCCTAGAGGCTCATAGTAGACTCTCCCAGGACGTCTGCTGGTAGCAGAGTTGCTCCATAGCTCGGCTGTGAGAAACGTAAGGACTGCTGGTTGTGGTCTTGTTTCAAAACGAAGATTTGGTTTGCCCTGGGGAGAGTCGGGGCCCTGTCCTAGACTTGAGTTAGGGTGGGAAAAGCCCTGGTCTTGGAGACCACACATCCAGATGTTAGTTGTGCCTCAGTGACAGTCAACCTCTCTGGGGCATCCCATCCTCACCTAAGCTAGCAAAGCTGGCTGCCTGAGGTCCCTTGTTGGCTGGGAGAATCTATTAGGCCTCTGCTAAAGTGCACAGGCAGCGACCCAGGCTCACTTATCACCTTGAAACCATAAAAAGACTCCAGGTGGGGAATCAGAATCTTAAATCATAAAGGAGAGCTCAGAAGCTTCTAGTTCAGCTCGCCGTCCAAAACTACAGTTCCCTCAGCGGCACCCCTCTGAAGCTCTTTCTCTGTGCTCACAGGTCTACATGGGTACCACCTTCACTTGGACCTGAACCCACCTGCCTGCCTCTGCTGCACACCGCAGCCAAAGAGCTCAGGGGAACAGAAAGGAATGAGATTATCCTCCTGCCTCCACACATAACCAACTCTCAGTAAACACTTGTAAAGAAATGCAGGACTCATGCAACCAACTGTCAAAAAGCCCTGTCCTTAGCTAGAGGCTTTCAAACCCATAGTTACAGATATGCGCAAAGACTGCACCAGGAGGAAGGAAGGGAGGCAGACTTTGCAGGCCTGGAATTCAGCAGGACTTTTCCAGGTGTTGGAACCCTGAGCAAATATTTTCTGCCGGCCCGTCTATATCATCCGTTTGAGTCACTCAGAACCAGGATTTCAGCATCACACTGGCATCAGTCCCAAAAATGAACCACACTCTACCAGAGACAGGTAAGACGAGGGAGCCAGTCAGCCCCACCAGAGGGATGAGAGTCTAGGGCTGGAAAACGCTGAAGGAGAGAACTTGGAAGGTGTTCAGGTGCTGCTCCTGGCCCTGGTAGGTCCTAGATACCAGAGGGACTCTCGGAAGACTTAGTGGAAGACACAAACACTAGGCTACCTCAAGTTGGGCCCAAGACAGGGCTTCCCTGACCCTACTTACTCAAAGTGTCCAGTGGTAGTTAACCCCATGAAATGAAGAATTCTTCCTGAGTGCCTGCCCTATGTCAGTGGCCTCATCCCTGGCATCTTGCTGCATGATTCCTGTAGAATAGGGAGGCAGATATCCTCAGTGATGGTGTGTAGTGACTGTGGTGTTCACTCTAGAGACACTGCTGGAGTCCAAATGCCACTCTTACCACATCAGATCTGAGTGAATGAGTTATTTGCTTATTTTCTTTTTATTACTTTAAAAAAATGTGCAGTGGCTTACACCTTTAATCCCAGCACTGGGGAGGCAGAGGCAGGCAGATCCCTGTGAGATCAAGGCCAACCTGGTTTATATAGCAAGTTCCAGGTCAGCTGGGGCTACAGGGAGACCCTGTCTCAGTCTGCCCCCGCAAAAGGATTATCAAAGCTGTCTAAGCACATAATTTAATCTAAGTTCAAGTATGCCACTTGTCATCCCTCTCCCCAGAGGTTACTCCTTTTTCTATACTTTTCACCTAATTCTGTGCCTGTTGCCTACACATCTCTAAACCACATGCTGCATTGCTGCTTCATGTCTTTTCTGTTACGGACATGAGCTCTTGATTTTGCCCCACAGAGAGAGGATAATCTTTCACCTACAACTTCACCTCACAGGGACCCTTCTCTCCCTCCCGTGCTTCCCAACTTAGTCATATCCTCATATTGGTTATTTTGGAATGTATGTATATATTTATTATGTATTTACTGTATATGTTTATTATCGTCATTTAATTGTTTTCCTGATGGACCTGTTAATTTCCTGCAAACGTTTTGCTTTTTCCTGGGGCTAATAATCACCTTTTTACATTTTCTAACTTTATGTACAGTTACTACCTATAACATCATCTTAAGTACCACATTAATTGTCTATGGCTATATGTTCATATTTTTTAGGCATTCTATCAATTTTATCTTCTCTTAAGACTCTTTTCTGATGCTGCTGACATCTTCTAGTCCTAGTACCCTTCCGTTGTTAATCTGTACTAGTTTCTTCTTTTGTAAAAGGATGCTGTGAGAAAGAAAAGAGAAATCATCCATGTAATACAATGTTTGTCCTGTGGTAAACACTCAATGCTGAATTCCAGGTCTGTAAGCTGAACCCTGAGCTTGGTGTCCTGCAGAGGTGGGTGGCCTCCCCCCTACTCTGGTGGACCCCCAAAGCAGCTCCATTAGGCAGACACAATGGGGGTCTTTCTAGCATGTGGTGATTCCTTGCGACTGCACACGTGTCTGTGCAGGCTTCCTCTTCGAGGGTCCTCCAAGAGGTGATTAGCAATAAAGAATTTTCTGTTAAGTAATCTGGCTTTGTAAATAGCTGCCTCTGTCATTTCATCTTGCTCCAATGGACTGGCTCCTTCCCTTCCTGGAGTCAGGAGGTGGGAAAAGTCATCTCCAGCACAATGCAGGCTCAGAATGGGGCCTTATCTGTGGCCCTCATTAGGGCTGGGACCAAGCCAAGCTGGGCCCAACCCTCTCAATCAAGAGGGCACTTTCAATGAGTTGACCAGCAGCCATCAACTAGGAGGTTATTCGTGGGCATTTTCAAGGGCCACAGGTGCCTCTGCTCTGTGAAAGTCAGGTACCACAAGCAGGTGGGTGCTTCCTGCAAAAGATGAAGATGCTGGAGAGGAATGCCAGACAGTGTTTCCTCTCATTATGACAAACACCAGATTTAAAACTCCAAGAACAAAGGCTTCTCACCTACCCCTTGGTGTGTGTGTGTGTGTATGTGTGTGTGTGTGTGTGTGTGTGTGTGTGTGTGTGTGTGTGTGTGTGTGGGGTGTGCATGTGTGTGGTCCATGCCTGCATGTACACTTGTTAGGGGAGATATTCCTCAATAAATATTTAACATCTGGCTTTCTAAGTGCAAAGAGATACTGTTTTCTGCATTGTTTTCCGATTTCTGTGCTATAAGTTCTCAAAAAGGGGCCCATTTTGAAGTCCTACCATGATGTCACTCAGTGCAGAGTGTGAAATCTGTTGTATTGCATTTCTGCTAGGCAGACACCAGAAATAACCTCAAGCTCATAGCTAGTAGTACGGTAACTAGAAACTAGTGAGTTTTCAATTCTTTCTACCTTTTGAAGTATTGAGGCTCTAACTCAGGATTTCATGTTTGCTAGGCAAAGATTCTTCTGCTGAGCTACACCCCAGCCCTACGGCTTTTTCAACATGTACTTGTTCAAGTGTAAGTTTCTGTATTGTAACTCTTAGTAAGGGCTGTGTTTTGCAGAGCCTAGCAAAGCCTCAGTGCATGGTAATTGGTTCTATAAGCTGGCTTGAGCTGTTTCCGCACACACTTGCCCCAGAGCCACACGCTGAGCTACTGCCATACATACCTGGCCCAGAGCTGCACATTCACACACATAACCCTGTGGCTGCCACTTCCAGTTTAGAATGTCTGTGTCATGCCTTCTGAGATGACCTTGGTGAGGTGAGGCAGAGTCGTGTTTTAGGGAAGTGGAAAGCAGTGACCCACACCTACCCAATTGCTGCTGTTGTCACCTCCCAGCCAGTGCCTTTTCAGGAGCTTGTCCTGGCTGCCATCATCAGCCTCTCCCCTAGATGCCAATGACAGTCTCAGAGCACCTGCCCAGGCATTCACCCAGGGCTGTCCTCTTTGGCAAGCTGACCTCTGTGGGTCAGGCCATATGCCCAGCTTATGTCGTGGCTGGCAGTTTCCTCTCCAACCTGTGTCCCACATTTCATTTCCCAGGAAATGCCCCATGCTGCACTAAGCTTGGTGAGGACAGTGGTGAAGCCAACTTGGCTGTGTGCAGCAGTGGAGGAGATGGCAATGGAGACTCGGGGCCAAGCAAGTTCAGGGGGCAAGGCTTTGCTGCCAGGCTAAAGGGTTTGGGTTCTGAGAAAAGGCCAGGTTGGTCCAGTTGGTTCCAAGCCTTCTGGTAGGGGTTGTGCTCGGGCACAACTGTGATGGTCAGTGCTGTGGAGACATGGCATATACTAATGGATCACTAGATTCACTGGAGACAGGGATGAGATGAAGACAGGGATAAACTGGACAGTGAGTAATTATATATTTTTATGCTAAAATAAAAACAGCTAACACTGCGTAACAGTTGCTGTGTGCCTTTCTTTGGTTCAGGAACTTGATGTATATGAAACACATTGAATCATTAGGACATGCCATAAGGAAGACATGTGGACAGGGGGTAGAGGTTTTGCCTGAGGTCTCCTGGGTGGCAAGCTGAGAAGCCTGGGCTGTGACTGCCTGGAGTAACCTTCTACCACTGAGCATGTCAGCACCATGCAAAGATCTACCTAAGCAGGGACAAGGGGACAGGAATGGCTCTAGAGTGATGGGGTCAGGAGTTATAGTGAAAGTGTAAGTCATGACCAAGATGGACTTGCTTTGATGAGGAGAGAAGGGGCTGGCATGAAAACATGCAGAAGGGACCATTTCTGTAT